TATGGACACGCATAGGTTACATCACAAACTCGCGAAAGGGAAAAAAAAAGTAGACTTAACTGGTTCTTCACAACTGTAGCTGGACTGGGCATTCAAGGAGAGTTTGAAAGGACCAATGCTACGGGCATGAATGTTGTATTCTTTGCGGCACGGGAGTTGGGAGTGATTAGGAGCCCAGGGTAGGGAGGTCGTGTTCCAGGTGTTGCGATTATTTAATTTAATTAAAAAATTTCGCATCATTTCAGATCAATAAAGGTTTGCAGCCTATACTTTTCTTTAGACGAGAAAAAAAATGTTGCCCGACTTTTCTTGTTACTCGCCGTCCATCAAATTCTTACTCCTTTTAGCCCTTCTTTTTAGTTATGCACGAGGCGAGGGTTACCAGTCGTGTTCCCAAATGGGGCACCTTGTAATAACAAGTTGAATCCCCTTCAAGGCACGTTCCTTCACAACGCAAGTTTTGTTCTTCCCCATTTCTTATTTTGAGCCCATTGTTTTTTTTTAAAGCAACGTGGTGGGTGCGTGAACGACCAAGCAATCACCTACTTTAACAATTCCTCATAAGCTGACGCTGACGAGAGTTTTCAAGGTAATGGTTTTATTATTCAGATTAGAAGGCACGCTCTGACGCTGCGAAGCACGTTGCTAGCATTGGACAAGTGTTCCGATTAAAAAAATACAAAAATAAAACGAAGGCGGGTGTGGCAAGGTGACGAAGAGTGCGTTGAAATGCACGACCCGATCGGTAGAGTAATGCGTAGCAGCTGGCGAATGTAAAATGTTAACTGTTGAGGGGCCCGAGCAGAGGCATATGTTTCACCGGGATGATTTACATCAGTCGCACCCACAGGACAGTCTGAATGATGTACACGCGTCATTTCTTATGTAAGAATTGCGAATGAGCTTTCATGTAAGCATCCGGTGGCACCTGATGACCCTTGTGAATGAAATTAAGAAGCAATCAACGCTCCGGCGACAAGGAGTTCTAGGAACATAAGCTGCAATTTCAGTTCTTCAAGAAACTGCGTGGGTCACTTACACGAGTCCGTGCATGGGCTTGTATTTATTTCATTCCTTTTTTTTTGTGCCTCAGCGGGAGTCTCGTGCAGTATACTGTTCGTACATTGATGTTTTTAGTATGTTTGTGTCGGTGCTTTTCCTGCTTACATGTGGTTCGGCACCCTCATTTGCGATCGCATCCGACATCTTTCCAGTTTAGTAAGGTGAAGTTTATCGTTGGTCTCCTTCTCACGCGGTTTGAATGTCAGGTCGGATCACTCGCATTGCCGTAACAATAAACTGCTGTTTCTTGGTGCTTCCCGATGCAAGGGTATGGTATTGTGTCATGCATACACCGAGGTGCTGCATTCAGTAACGCATATTTGATGGTGGTTGCGTCGTACGGCAATTTGTTATGAGGCAGCGACGTCCTGAACAGTCGAGGTAGCACTGGTAAAACACGAATACTGATCGCACGCACAGCGACAGAAGCAGAAACTCACCATATTTCTCTTCCCCACTACAATACCAACGACGACAAGCAGTTCTGAGTGTAACTATTTTCGGTGCCCAGGGGACTACCTAACTCTTTTTCTCGGTGCTGCCTCATATTATCAAAATCAAGTACGGGGCAATTAAAGACAAGCCATAGCCACATAATAGTGGTCACGTCATTACTTGTCGTCCTCTTACGTTCCGTGAGTTTTTTTTTTTTTTGCACGTGAACGGGCGTCAGAAAAAACCACCTGGCGTGATTCAAATATTTAGAGTGGGAGTAGAGAGTAGTGCAGCAAATGTAGTAAATAATTTATGAATGATTGTTCGATTAATATTGTGGGTCCATAGGTGGCAACTCTGAGCAATCACGTAATTGAAAACGTGATTGTTTGTAATCGCTTACTTCATTTTTGGCCGGTTCTGGCAAGTCTAAGTCTCCCTTGACACGTGCCAATTTCTGGCCAACCGCACGAGAATATGAAATGTTCAATGAGGGATATGTAATCATTTACAGTAGCATATTATTTGATGTATTATAACTAAAGGGCCAGTCAACAGGCTCCGAATTTTCGTGCATCTTTCATACACCTGACCAACCTCCTTCCACACGCAGTGACGCCAACTCGGTGATCAGCGACGTCACGCAGCACGAAGCTCGTAGATTGGTCTAAACCAAGTCTCAACAAACAGTAATGAAGTCAACGTCACCTATCGCCAAGTTGACGTCACAGCGCGTGAAATGAGGTTGGTCAGGCGTAGCAGGATGAGCGAGCTTATTTGGAGAGGGGGAAGTCGGAGCCTGTTGACTGGCCCTTAAAAAAATTATGCTGAATTCACACGCTGGATGCATTGCTTTGATACGCACATACTGTATTAACGTTGTATTGCATGTGTTAAACTTAGAGCGTGCAGACAGGCGTAATGATGTGTGTTATTCCTTAGTCATGTCACACTAAACTTAGAGTATATATATATCATAGGAAAAAGCAGAACAAAAACAGATGACAAAACGGAGAGGAAATGAACACGCAATGTGAAAGCATCCTCTTTTTTGTGTTTTTTTTTATGTGCAAGGTACTGTGTCAATCAAAGTAATGTGTCAGTCAAGCGAATCGCAGTTTATGACTTGCTTGACTGACACATTTTCGGTGACCGAGTTTCGAGAGTGTACTTGCATTGCGTACAGTTAGGACTCAACACCACATGTACAAATTAGTTAAGTATTAGGCGTGTGCACTCATAAAGCAAATGACGAAAAATGATAACGCCGCGAATACCATTTTCTTGAATTTACTACAAACGCTTTACCTTTATGTTACACCCCGGAATAACTATACTGCTAATGAGAAAACTGAGTGCCCACGACTTTATCACGCTGTCGTATGGTATCCGCGCACACGTACCATGAAAGTTACTGCTAAATTGATCGAAATGAAGGGTCTCGAATGTTTCTAATGCGTTCCACTTTTTGGAATGCGTTCACTAGTTCTCGCATAAAGTTCCAAGTCACTGTGGTGGAAAAAACGACATAATCAGGTGTGTTGTCAATGATCCACGACTAGACGGTATATGATGTTTCAACCTCGAAGAAGAATAAGTCTCCTGATCCGATGCATTCGCCTAAGACTTATCGAACGTGCAAAAACATCTTGTAATTCTAGTTCTTTTCGTCTTGGTCGATTGCATTAATCTCCCCCCCCCCCTTCTGCAATCACCCCTTCTACCCTCCTCTCGAAGCTTTCCGCACTTCACTGGGTGTTGAACTGTGTCCATGATCGGCGCACCTTTTACCAAGCGATGACGATCATTGATGATGTCATGTGACAGTGAGGTCGTGCGACTCTTTGTACGTCGACTGCACACAGTACATTCATTTGAATATCACGCGGCTTTTCATGGACCATCATTACATAGTTGTTTCTTACCATTCGCAAAGTCTCGCCAAGTATCGTAAGGTATCGCAAAGTCTTTCGAAACGTGACACATGCAGGCTTTTTCCTTAAAAAATTCGATATATGAGCACCAGTTTAAAGAGCATTTGCTTGGTCAAGCAAGGAGGTGTGAATTGAAGCACGATCGACACTCGCTGTGCTACAACACGAGGTGCGCTGCGAAAAAGCTGCTGGTTGCAACGCAGGAAGCAATAAATAAAAAAGGAGAAGCCTTACGACGATAGAGCCCGATGCTAATCCGCGCAACGACCTGCGACGAACGCTTCGCGGTACATATGCCAGGTCGTAAAAAATGCTGTCGACGACTTTGCATTCACGGCCTTCCGTGTCAAGCAAGCGTGAATTTTTATAGCTTGCGAGCCCAATCTTAAGGGCGCCGACGATCTCCAGACTGCGATCGGGCCCTACTCGGTTCGCCGTGGCTGAGGAAACAAAGTAAGAGCTAATACAGCGTGAACTAAGAGAGAGAGGGCGAAAGGCGAACAGATGGGGGAGCAACTCCCGGGAGCGTTTCTGGGATCGCCACAGATTCTAACTAGAGACGCCTGAATGCACAGGGAGCCCTAGACTGCTGTCTTTCACCTCTCACCGCTATTTTTCCCTGTATCAGCGAGTTCCCAATCCCTGGTAGCTGGTGAAAAAGAGTGAGAGAGAGATTAAAATAAAACTGTCGACTCCTCCTCGCCCACTGTGTTTCGCGGCGAGCACATGGCGTATCAATGTATAAATCAATGAAGCATGCGTTTGACGTCGTAAAGACGTTGCGCTTCCCCGCGGCCCGCCTGCCAGTTTTTTTCTTGTTGTTCGCGCGTTCCTGCTATCGATGGACGAAATCTCAAGAAACCTCCGGCCCGGCCCGGGAAGACAGATGGTGAACTAGAAGAGAATAAAAGAAAGGGGAGCACGACGACGGTTGTAAAATGAACAAATAAGCACTAACAGGATGTGTAGTACAGACAGACGTCAAATCATAACCGAAGAATCGGGGCAATGCTCTTCGAGCACTCTCTTCCCGTTCTGAAGCACCTCAAGCTTCATCTTTCCTTTAAACATTCGTTTTGTTTTGCTGCGGTGCCCGAGCTGTAGCGACGCCGCGGAGGAGCTCGCAGGGAAAAGATGAGGGAAGGAACTTTCCCCTCTTTCACATCGCTTCTGAATGGGGACGTGTTGCCGCCTTTTCCCTTCCCTTCTTTCCTTCGCAGGTTGGCGCCGACGGCACAACGCGGCGCCACTGAGTCGCGATATGGAAAGAGGGTAGAAGAAGCGCTGGTTTCGGGGCACATGGGGCTGCGGGTGAGTTTGAGAGAGAGAGAGAGAGAGGCAAAAAAAAAGGAGTACCTTACCGCTTCCGTCGGAATTATCTCCGCCCTTTCTCACTCGCTCACCTTCTGGAAGGGGAGTTTTTGGGAGCCGCCTGCATTCTTTCCACCTTCTCTCTCCAGGGCGGTGCTCCCTTCTTTCCCCTCCATCTTCCCGCCTTTTCTTCCGGACTTCGTATTTGAAGGAGCCCGGGGGTCCCGCGCGGGACAGTACCACCGTAGGCGCCGGCGCGTCGCCGTCGAACGACGTGGAAGAGATAGGGCGCGTCTCACCTGAAAGCACGTCAGCGCCGAGCTTCCGCGCGCGTCGCGAAACGCTTCGCCGGCGCGCCTCCATCTCGGGTTCGCTAAACTTAGGAAAAAAGTTGTTGCTCGTCGAGAGTGCAGGGACCGCCGATACACTGACAGTCGGTGCGCGCGCTTCGCTCAAAACGGGCCGGACCAGGTTTGAGCCCATGGAGTGATGTAGGCGTTTCCACGAGCTCCTGCTCAGGGGCAGAAATGTCTTGTCGTATTGGTGGCACCGGAGACTGGCGCCGTTGTGTCAGTGGTGTCTAGCACAGGATGGTTCCGGAAATGTGGCGGCGGTTTATGGTGGCAGGGTCCCACGGAGCCTAAAATATAAAAAAAAGTAATCAAGAGAGAAGAAAGCACCGAAAGAACCGGAAGTGACGACGCTTATTGCGTGTGCATCGAGAGGAGGACCTTGCCCATTGCCTCCCCAGGTCTTTGCGGCACCGACACCGCCTCCTGATAGATGAAGGCCAGCTTGGAACTTGTGCACTTCGCACTCGGCCTGTGCTTCTTTTGTTTCACAAGTGAGTGCCAAACCTGTTATCTTACTTCGTCGGAGTACTACATTTCATCAAAACAAATCTACAATGCAATGGGCACGTTGCGTAGATCCCCACAAAACGAGAAATATTAGCATAAAAAAGCCTGTGTTTTAATAAATAATAAAGAGGACAATTAGTTTGTCTGAAAAAAGAAGGTAGTAAAGAGATTAACAATAAATAGTCTTCTCTGGAAGCTCGCTGTCATACTACTACTTGCAATTATCTAAAACCTCGAATCGCTGAACGCAGGTGTTTTGAAACTTAATGTACTAAAGCGATCATCCTACGCGTCACACCAACATAACAGCTGTATCTGCAGTGAACCACACGATATGCCGAATAACCTAGAGGGTAAAGAAGGTTTACTTGCGTCCTGTTGTGGGCAGTAATGCCCAAATTACATTCAAGCTAACCTTAGATGTCACGACTACAGCTATGAACAATAAATTGAACGACGGGAAGCACGTACTCTAAAAAAGGAAGGTGCTCTTATTTGCGTCACAAATTAAGATGTAAACAGAGAAAATAATTATTGAATCGGTGGTTGTTACAGATCTGGGCCTTGTACAAGAATAAAAGCCGCCCACCTCGGGCCATCCTTCAGTGAAACAATCGCGTTTTTCGCTTAGCCGTGCCGTGAGCCCCGTCATTTGTCAGCTTAAGCCACAGATGCTATAGAAGTCTTCTTTGTCTTCTTAAGGCATGAAAGTTTGCATTTTATTTTTGTCTTCTTAACGCTAAGGCGCCGAACGATATCTTTTCTCGGAAGTTCAAGATCCTGAAAATGTCCTTTCGTGAAAAACAGATTTAGCGTGCTTTTGTAAAGCTGGCTTTTCTGTAGTAAGGCTCGGCAGAAGGCGAAGTAAACTTTAACAAGGAGTGGAACGATGGGAAATTTTATGTGCCCCAAAATTGTCACCAACTTGCGTCAATAAAGTGTTCTATAACAAGAGATAATGTGTAACAATGTGTAAAAAGCTGTGTTTGTTGCTCTGAAGAAAAGAGAACACAAAAGAGAGAAAAATATTTTGATAAGACCTTCCGTAGTGGTGAAAAATAATATGAAATTGAACGCAGAATCAGATATACTGAAAAGGCAGTGGCTGAGAGTTCAATGCACTAAATAGATAGTGTTCAACAAACATAAGCCATGATTAGCCAAATGATTCCTCAGATATTTATCGACTAGTAATAAAAAAGAACAGAATGTGATCATCAAAAGGAAAACAGACAAAACAAATAAACGACAACCCAATTATAAACTGGGAGTCAGTGAGCTGTAGGGTTCTGTAAAACAAAGAAGTCGAGTGTGACTACTCAAGAATTACTTCGAAAACAGTTTGCAAATCATCGCTAAGATAGTGTGATATAAATAAACCGCGAATCAGAGTTCAGCATACTTCAAATTTCGAAAAGGCTTAGGCCTGTTTTGTTGCATTGATGGTTGAATGCAATATATTTCCTAGGAGATTAATTGTTAGGCTAGCATTTCCACGGGTAAGCTCACCTTAAAAAATTAACCTTTGCTGTTCTAGATGTCAATAAAAATAATAAACCTTGACATTTTAAACTTAGATGAAGCCTTGTATTGTTTACGACAGAAGGCATGAATATTTCTCGTTAAGTTTAAGATTAAAGTGTAATTTAGGATTACTCTAGTTTTAACGAGTATCCATGACTGTGTTTATGAAATCGACGTTAAAATTCAAATAGAAGCCCCCTCTGGAAAAGCGTGCAAGGGTTTGCGATAGTCTCATAAGTATCCTAGAAATGTCCACTTGTGTTTGTATAAGCGGGAAAGCTGCGTAGCATTTCGGGTAGGCATTGTCACGAAACACTAAGTTTTTTTGTTAACACTTGCAATCATAACTTGTTTTTCAAGACACTACAGATATTTCGGCTCTGTGTCCCTATACAAATATGTTTACCCTACTGAATGGTATCACTGTCTTCGAGCTTTTAGATTATGAAAGCATTGTGTCGGCAAAAAAATCGCAACAGAAAGTGTAACAATAATATTTAACTCGCCACTGAAGTCATGCAAACAAAAGGCATGAGCATTTCCCATTGGTTTTTGATATACTTGATCAAGTGATACCGGGTGGTATATGTAGTGCTTTAACGGAAAAAGCTAGCATCACGCATAATACGCTTCAAAAGCCACTATCCCGTATGTTTCTATCCATAAAAAACAATCACCTAAGTATATATTACCGCTAAGTCTACTTTCAAACGAATATCTTGATATCAAGGTATCGTATCCTATTTTAAGAAATAAAGCTAAACTCGAAAAAGTGTCTCGCAAGCGATTTCATAATGAGACCGAACCTGTCGCTTTTATAAAGAAATAATTAAACAGTGAAAAGCTAGTGAAAACGTCATTTTGTCTTTCTCTCTAAAGCAAGATATATGAGAAGCCAGGATTAGAAAAAAGGTAGCCACAATAACACACATGAACTTAGATAGCAACAGCACGAGCAGCTTCGCACTGTCTCCTTCTCTGTCACGTGCGTTTTTCCTCCTGACTTCCATTTCCTAATCATGGATCACCAATTGGTCTACAGGCACACTTTTTAAAACCAGAAAGTGTGGATTATTAGTTCAATTGAGACCGAGCACCAAGTTTCTACTGCAATCTGCCATAAACAATATAATTACTTAGTATAGCTGTCAAATGAACTGATGAACCGTTGGGGAATTTGATATTATCAAAATATTTAGTCGTGTGGCTTGCGACGCCTCTGATGGCTGTAGAGGGATTCTAGATGCGACTTTACCGTAACGAGTAGACAGATCATTGACACTGAACATTCAGCAACTAAACATTTATCGTTCAAAAAAAAAAATCCTGAGAGCAAAAAGCGTATTTTATCAACAATAATCTCAAAACAAATTCCTGCTGTACGCGGTAAGCCCCATTTCCTAAAGTACAAATGCAAGGGCATGTGCTTAAGCAAAAATATTCGCGTCACCATGCAATGTCGGCCAATTCACATACTTCTATGTTTACTTTTATGCCACTACCATTTTGCCGACGCAAACAAACTGGTTTAGTCGAGCTGATGGGTTAGCCAAAAAAAAAAAAAATTGTGCTACGCGTACTTTGTACATCGACAAAGTACACCTGAACCTAGCCATATAAAGCTTAGCATGGAAAAAAAAACAAGCGTTTAGTCTCAGATTTGATTCGCGATCATCGCGGCCTCATTAGTGCTGCAGATAAAAGCTAAGTGCAGGAAAACCCATGCACTCAGATTAAGTTTCTCGTTAAAAAAAACCGCAGATAGTGCTAATTTAACTAAATGTGCCAGGCATGAAAAGAACTAGCATTGAGAGAACTTGCGTAAGCATATCTAATCCTTCATTGCCGCCTTCTTCTTTTTCGTAAGTGCTGTACACTACGGGAAAACAGGACATACTGAGCGGTAGTCACTTCATGTGAGTATAGATGTGACGGCACTAACCAGAAACCACTGTTCTGCTGTGAAAACTTCCAGTCTTGGCACGAGCGCAGCAGCCAGTGCATCAACTTCGGTTTTGCTTGCTTAATAACCTCGTTCTCCTGAAGGGGTCAAGACTGGATGACATGATTATTCAGGAGGATAGCCCTTGTGCATGTAGAGAAGGAAGACACCATCGGTGCGGCAGCGTATTGACGAAGGCGCACAATATAAATTATTCGAGGCACCACCATCATCATCGACGGAGGGTGGGAGAAGACAGGGGTTGACCCTATCTTCCCCTCGCCTCGTCCGAATGAAAGTGCCGTATTTTAAATAAAGCTTCTTCATTCGCTGTCCTCAAAACTTTGATTTAATAACGCGACATTGATATAAGGAAGACAAATTAACATCCACCTATTTCGAGCACGAAGCCGCAGAGATTTCCGGACGAATTAATTCGAAGGAAAGCTACTTTGTTGCCGGAAACTTCATTTTGGTTTGGCACCGAAGCCGGGACTAATGAATTTTCACGGTGGTCGCTCTAACAATCGAGCTCACCCGGATTTATGAACCAGGGCGAAATATTCAGACACTAAGAGCTTTTTTTTTCCCGAAAAAATCCGTGTATTTTTTTCTTATTTTTATGCATCGAGTGCGAAGAATAAAAATAGAAAATTTACGGCGAGAACATATTCGTAGTAAGACGATGATCATGGGCGGCGTAACGTGAAAAAGGGGTGTGAACCTCTCACAAGCCACCGTCTTATGTGAAAAAAAAAAAAAAAAAACCGTTCATATGAGAGAACGTCTACGTGTGTATTCAGACAATTTACCATCAAAATTACCGTATTCGCTCGATTATAAAACGACTACGATTGTTACGTGAAAGGAGAACCTCTTATTGTGTCTTAGAAAAAAGAAATCACTGAAGATTACGATAGTTTGTAATCAGAATTCTGAGCGGAGCTTTGCGTTGGCGCAAGGCCAACTCTGAAGTTTTGGCTCTCCGCGATGTAGTCATCATAATCAGCGTGACTACGTCCACTGCAGGACAAAGACATCTCCCATGTTCCACCAGTAAACTCAGTCCTGTGCTTGCTGCTGCCAATTTATACCCGCAAGCTTCTTAATCTCATCTGCCCACCCAACCTTCTGTCTCCCCCTAACCCACTTGCCTTCTCTAGAAATCCGATTAGTTACCCTTAATGACCAGCGGATATCCTGTCTACGTGCTACGTGCGCGGCCCATGTCCTTTTCTTCTTCTTGATTCCAACTATGATATCCTTAACCCCGGTTTGTTCCTTGATCCACTCCGCTCTCTTCTTGTCTCTTATGGTTACAACTACCATTTTCCTTAGCATTGCTCGCTGCGTCGTCCTCAATTTAAACTGAATCCTCTTTCCGAATCTCGAGGTTTCTACTCCGTAGCTAAGTACCGGCAAGATGCAGCTGTTATATACCTTCTTCTTGAGGGATAGTGGCAATCTACCTGTCATAATTCGAGAGAGCTTGCCAAATGTGTTCCAACCCATTCTCAT